GGTCTGTCCACCCCCAAGGCTCTATCACACATAGGCAGATGACGTCCAGCCCTGTCCTTCCTCTGGAGCTCTGGGTACACTGCTCTAGGCACACCACTCCCACACCAGGATGTCACAGGGACACCTCGAACTCAGTAAGATCCAAATTGAACTTCTCAGAGGTATCACCTGGCTCCTGCCAACTTCTCCGGCCTCACACTCTCTCCCCCTTGCTATGGGGTAGAGCAACACCAGATTGTGGTGGGCTAGATGCTAAGGTGGCCTTACAGCTAATTAAATCAACAAAGTATGGGAGGAAACAGAATGTTTTTCAGACCCCTGGAATAGCAGCTTGGCATGGTGTCCCAGTGATTCCATCTGCTTTGTGTTCAGAAAGCATCAATATGGGACTTACAGAAACTTTGGGATCCTGGGGGGAGGGTATAGCTCAGTGGTAGAATGCATGCTTAGCATGCATGAGGTCCTGGGTTCAATCCACAGTACCTCCATTAAAAAAAAAAGTCTAAAAGAAGAAGGAAGGAAGGAAGAAACTTTGGGATCCTATTCCCGTACCACGGCCAAGCCCAGTTAAGGGGCTGCAAACTTGCCGGCCTACAAGCCCAGCCTAACAGGCTTGTGTGAATGTTGCCACAATTATGAATTTTTAAGAGAATCCAAAAATCTGGACTTTCATGTGAATCTTCCAGTTGTTAAATGTTGGCAACTAATTCAAAATTTACAATATACTATTTGAATCAAATAATTTTTTTGACAACACCATGTGAATCAAACAAAGCACAACTGTGGGCCAAATCCAGCCCACAGGCTTTGTGTCTGTGAACTAGAGGGAGCAGAATACTGGAGACTTTGGAGTCAGACAGACACCAAGTCAAATATCGGCTCTGCTACTCTGTGTGTCTTTGGGCAAATCACACAACCTCCCAACGTCCTCATTTATGAAACAAGAACAACACTATTTCTCTCTGAGTTGTAATGAGGACAAGAGATCATGTCTGGTTAATGGCCAGCATAGCAGTTCCCTAAACGGAAGCCAATGATTGCTTAATCAGCGCTATTGACACATCTAAAAAAAACCACGTGTTTCCATGGTCATCCTAGGAAAAGAGGGTATATGAACACCATGGAGGACAGGGAGAGGGAGCCTGGCTGACAGTCCACAGGCACTTTCGTCCTTAGAGAGCAGTTCTCAGAGGTGGCTTCCCTTGTTCACAGAGGAAACACCCTCCCACCAACCCCTGCCCCTGCAACCATCCTCCTTTCTTTGGCTCTGAATCCTGGCTCAGCAGCACCATTCTGATCAGTCCTTCCATCGCCCGTTTCTGTGGTCCTGGGAATGGGCAGCCCTAGGAGAGCGATGTGGCCAGACATTGTGAACAGCCTCCTGGTTGGTACCCTAGTCTTGCTTGAGTTCGTTTTCTGATGCACTGAGAAAAGCTATGTGCTCCAGGACACTGGAACTGATGGGGGGTGTCCTTCCTTTAGAACCCCTAGACATTACCCTCATGGTCACCCCCAAACTGTGTCAGCCATGAGGAACTCCTGCAGGGCGTCCCAGAGGTCAAGAGGCCTGAGTCACTTACGTTATCTGAGAATACAGGGAAAATAAAAATGAACCCTTGCCAAGACAGGTTTTTATAGTATATTTAAAACATTTACTTTGAACAAATTAACACATTTTAACACACACAACATAATGCTGTTTAACCGTGCTATTCACAGGGTAATTCCATGGACCTGCCTTTCCACAGCACAGAAAGCCCTTCTCTATTTCCTCTGCTTGCCTGGTGACTCTTTTTCACCATCCCATGCTTCAAAATTCAGCTCCTCTGCTGTGAATCCTTTTTTGACTTCCTTGTGAGAACACTCTTTGAACTGGTTGGTACAACCACATCCTTTTATTATTGTAATTTGGAATCTGTGGTTCTGCCTCCCACTGGCCTGGGAGCTCCCTGAGGGAAGGGGTTGTGTAAACACTTGTCAGTAACCCCAGCACCTGACAATGAGCCTGGCAAGTAGTAGATGCTAAGTGAATGGGTGGTGGGATGCAAAGATGACAAGGCTCTGTCAAGAACGATGTGTTTATAATGAGACCAAGGGCAGGAGCCCCAAGACAGGAAGTGGTTTGGGGAAGCTCCCCACGTGGGGTAAGTGGCTGGGGGGCTGTGCCTCTAGCCCTGCACTTCTCTGGTTTCTGAAGAGCATTTTCGTCCAAGGCTCAGTTGATCCCCTCACCTGGGACAGCCTCACTCTTTCTGGTTAAACTCCCTCCCCATCTTCAAGCTTAGTTCAACGGCAGCCACCAATATGGCACCTGGGCACAGTCACACTCAGAACTGACACGTGAGAAGCAACCACTCGAAGAGGGAAACGTCTTTACCCTCATCCTCTTTCCTCCCTTCCCTATGATATCTAAAAACAGGAACAGCTCTCCAGACGCTGTGCTTGGCCACTTGTAGGAAGGAAGCACCGGCTTACTGAGCACTTAGTCCAGGGCTGGACAGCACCATCATTAGTGCTGATACTTCTCATTCCTGAGGCCATGACAGGTGTAACTAATGGATCACAGGACTTCTCACCGAGCCAGAGAAACAGCCCATCTCCACGTAGCAATCCCGGCAGCTGCAATCAATTGACTGGAGTTGGTGCATGCCACCAAACCTATTTAACATTTCATCTTACTGCCTGCCAGGCCCATTGCTAGGAGCTGCAGAAATGAATTAAACAATATCTGTGCCTTCAAGTCTGGAAGCAGGATGTAGGTAGAGATTGAGAGCTGACAAACTTGTGAACACATATTTATAACCAGGTGAAGTATAAAACCAGGATTAAACTTATGAATACAGTATTATGGAAGCACATACAAGGCAATGACTAATTCTGCCTAGAAGTGTGGTGCAGAGGTAGATCTTGAATGATGAATAGGAGTAGAATGGACCAAGCAAGGTGGGAAGGATATTCATAGCAAAAGGCTTAAAATATGCTAAGGCTTGGGATCCAGAAAACACTGGAATGGGTATAAGGAAAAGAAAATCTATTCCCAGAGTGGGAAGGATTTTTTCCTGCATCTCTCTAAGCCATAGATATGCCATCTGTTAAAAAAAAAAAGTACCTACCTCATAAGGTTGTGGTGAGGATTGAATAAGATAATGTGTAATGCCCTCACACAGTGCCTGGTTCAGTGCAAGTCAGCTCCTCCTGATGTCTCCAGAAAACCATGGGGCATGAACTTGATCTCTGGCAACTGAGCTGGAGTAGGTTTAAAGTAAAGGAACATCACCAGATTTTTAAAAAATATTGTAGTTTCCACAACTAAAATACATGCTTATGTTAGAAGAGTTGAAAATATTTTAAAAAGAGAAAAAAGAAAAGAAAACCTTACCTCCCCCCAGCCCCATCCCAACCCAGAGAGAATCTCTGTTAATATTTTGGTGCAGTGTCTTCCAGACTTTTTCAATGCAGTTCTCTTCTACACCTATGACACCATAGAAACAAAAAGTCCTCCGGTTTTTAATCACATAAAAATGATGACACAAGCAGTTTTCTATATTATCGTGATCTCTTTGAATATATCATTTTAATGGCTAATATCCATTGAGTGGATCTGTTGTAATTTATGCAAGCATTTCCCTGCTGTTGGACAAGCAGGTTGTCTACAGTTTTTTTCCCCCAATTGTCAATGATCTTATAGAGAACATCTCGATACAGAGAGGGAAAGTGGCCTTAGGGCCCTCGTAATAACTTGGGTTTCACTGAATGAAATGGAAGGCACAGTAAACTGGATGGTTTTGAGCAGAACAGTGACCTGAGTGTAGCCAAGATATATATGAATTTATTTGTATGTCCGGGACATGCTGGGGGGTGGGGGGTGGAGAGCTCTAGAAACACAGCAGTGTAAAGAAAAAAAAAAGCTTCCTGCCACTCCAGTTCTACAAGGATTAAGCCATTACCCACCTAATTTGCCCACCCATTGGGAAAAAAACACTCAGTCGAACATAAAAAGATTACTGCTAATCACAAAGAACAGACATCAGAATTTAATGATTTGAGTACTTTTCTATGTATGGGAAGATACAAGAATCTGCGGTCACTGAAACTTTTCCTTAGATGTGTATCTTATCTATCTAAGGGCAGTGTCCAAAGCACAGAATTTCCCTCAGGCGCACTGTTGGTAGGTGGGTGGCGGGCGACTGCAGGGGCTAATGGCTTGACCCTCTGATTCTTGTAGAACTGGAATGGCAGGCAACATTATTTTTCACACTGCTTGTTCCCAGAGACTCCCCTAGGCATGGTCCCTGACATGCAAGTGACACTCGATAAATGCACTGATAAAGGAGAAAGGCAAGTAATACTATTCCCTTTTACAGGCAATAAAACCAGAAAGGAGATCTGATTGACTTCTGCCCCGATTTCTACCGTAGGAGCACCCAGGAGCATAGGGTCACAACCAAGGGCCTCCCAGGCCCTCCATCATCTCCTCTTCCTCCTCTGCTCCTCCAAGGGCACTGCAGAGCCAGGCCCCAGCCCCAGAAACAAGTCTAGCCTCCCAGAAAAAGATCCTAGAGCAGGAGTGGAGCTAGTGACAGCCTATTAGTAACAATAATAGCACTTAAAATATGCCAGATACTGTTCTCCCACAGTAACTCTTTGAGGCAGGTTCTATTAGCACCACCATTTTAAAGATGAAGAAACTGAGGTACAAAGAGGTAAGTGGCATGTCCAAGACAGTAGCAGAGCCTTGGCAATCGAACTGAGGCAGTAGAGCTGGAGGCTGCACCGGTATCCACTGAGTCGCCCTCTTAATGGAGCAAAACATTAACACAGACAACAGAAGTCATAGCCTTGAGTTCTCGAGCTCCTTGTTTCTTCTTGGATAAATTGGGAACATTAATATTGCTAGCCTATAGAGTTGTAGGGAGATTAACATATCTAGAGAATACAGTGCCCAGCACATAATAAGCGATCGATGAATGTTAATTATTGATATTACGGTTATGGGCGTTTCTGGGCCTGGGAAAGAGTGCAGGGCGATAGCCTTGCACGGTTTGCAGGTGAGATCACTTTGTGAGCCAGCGGCACAGGGCCCCTCATAGTCTCTCCCCAGCCCGGAGACTGCGAGCCCAAGAGTGAGGGGCGCCCAGAGCCTCTGGCCCCGCCCCACCAGACTTAAAAAAAAAAAAAAAGGGAGACGCTGGGCGCAGGCGCAGAAAGCCAAGCCGTCGCCTTGCGCCAGCCCAGAAGTGCACAAGCATGGAGGGACGCGCGGACTCCCGCGGCGAGCCCCGCGCTTGGCTCTCTGGGTCCGTGCTGGGCCGCTGCTGCGTGGAGCCGCTCGTCTTCTTTGCCAACTTCGCCTTAGTCCTGCAGGACCCGGTCACCACGCAGTACCTGTGGCACCGCTTCAGTGCCGACCTTGGCTACAACGGCACCCGCGAGAGGGGCAGCTGCAGCAACCACACAGTGGATCCCACCGCGCAGGTAGCGGCGGCCTGGAGAAGGGGGCGACGTGGCGGCGGCGGGCCCTGGGCTACAGCGTGGGGGCAGCTGAGGTGGTGGGGCCTGCATGAAGGTCGGGGGCAGACCAGGGGGTTCTGGATATTGGGTGGTGGGCGGGGCCGGAGCAAAGCTGGAGCCTGAGGAAGCAGGGTTAACCAAAGGGAGTATTGACTGAAGGAAAAAAAAAAAGTACAGCCTAAAAGTTGAGAACTGCGTTTTATTTGGCTGACTTTCTGAGGACTCAAGCAGGAGAGGCAGCCTTTCAGAATAGCTCTGAGGGACTGTGTTCCCAAGAGATAAGGGAGAACCTAGGATATATAAGAGTTTTGCAACAAAAACTAGGTAGTGGGAACGTGGAATGATTACTGTTAATTAAAGAAAATCACACATCTCAAGTTAATGAACAGCCCTTTTCTCTGTATGGGGTGATGCAAGAGGCTGGGCTCATTGAAAACATTCCTTTGATATACACCTTAGCTATCTTGGGCCAGTATCCTGTTCTTTCCCATCCTGAGCCCTCTCCCAGGGTGCATTGTTGGGGGTGGCTGCAGTGGCTGAGGGCTTGGCAGTGAGCAGTCCTTTTGTCTCCATCCTGAGTTCCCTCGGGGCTCACCTCAGGGGCGGTGGTAATGGCTGATGGCTTGATGGCCACAGCATCCTTTGCTGGTATGGCAGGTAACATTTTTCATTCACAGTGGTAAAAGTAAGGGACGGGATCTTGTCCATTTCCCATACCCACCTCCAGTGTCAGTTTTTAAGAGTTCTACTAAAATTGTCTCTGCAATTTAGGCTCCCAAGAAAGTCCTCATACCTGCATCTCCCAGGATGGTGATGGTATGGGGAGTGAGAAGCCTAGAGTGAGGAACAGCACCCCAGTAATAAGACTTTTGTCCCCACAGGAAGTGGAGACTCTTACCTCTCACTGGACCCTCTACATGAACGTGGGCGGCTTCCTGGTGGGACTGTTCTCATCCACTCTGTTGGGCGCCTGGAGTGACTGTGTGGGCCGCCGTCCGCTGCTAGTGCTGGCCTCGTTTGGCCTGCTGCTCCATAACCTGGTGTCCATCTTCGTGGTACACCTGCAGCTCCATGTTGGCTACTTTGTTCTGGGCCGCATCCTTTGTGCCCTCCTTGGAGATTTCAGTGGCCTCCTGGCAGCTGGCTTTGCCTCTGTGGCAGATGTCAGCTGCAGCCGCACCTGTACCATCCGAATGGCCCTGCTGGAAGCATGCATTGGGGTGGCAGGGATGCTGGCGAGCCTTGTTGGAGGTCACTGGCTCCAGGAGCAGGGATATGCCAACCCCTTCTGGCTGGCCTTGGCCTTGCTGATAACCATGACCCTCTATGCAGCATTCTGCTTTGGTGAGACCGTGAAGGAGCCAACACCTGCTCGGCTCTTCACACTCCGTCACCACCGATCCATTGTCCAGCTCTACGTGGCCCAGGCCCCAGAGAAGTCCAGGAAGCATTTAGCCCTGTACTCACTGGCCATCTTCGTGGTGATCACTGTGCACATTGGGGCCCAGGACATCCTGACCCTCTACGAGATGAGCACACCCCTCTGCTGGGACTCTAGGCTGATCGGCTATGGTTCTGCAGCTCAGCAACTCCCATACCTCAGCAGCCTGCTGGGCCTGTGGCTTCTGCAGTACTGCCTGGATGACACCTGGGTGGCTGAGATCGGTCTGGCCTTCAACATCCTGGGGATGGTTGTCTTTGCATTCGCTACCATCACACCCCTCATGTTCACAGGTAAAGTGTATGGGCTCAGGGACAGTTTGTCTCAGAATTACTGGGTGAAAAATGGGGGCTAGCCACCTGCTGCCCCCAAACGTAGTTCATGCCTATGTCTTAACATCATTGTGTCCCTAGGCTGCACTGGAGGACAGACAACTAAGAAACCTCACAAAAATACTATCTTTGTCATATAGAAAATATAGACCTTCAGTAGCCAAGGTCATTCACTCACATTATCAACCATAAATGTTGGTGGTAAGATAGAGCAAAGACAAGAATATGGCTCATACACTAATTGCTTTGCTCCTTGGCCTCCCACAGCCTGCATTCATGGTGTTCTTAAGCAAAGTCCACGCCATTATTGCCTTCACACTTGCTTCTCCGATAAGAATTACAGGACCTGTCTCAAATATCCTTCGTCAGCTTCTCTGGGTTTTTAAAAAAGCCAGTCTTCTCAGGTCACAGATAACAGACTCCTGCTTGGGTTAGTTCTTCTTCTCCCCTCCCCTCTTCCTTTTTTTTTTTTTTGGTGGAAGAGGGCAGCTGGGAATGAGGAAGTTAACTTTTCTGAAGGAACAGATTTATTTTAATAGAGCCCTAAAATATTTTGTTTACAGTCAGCCAGTCAGTAATCAAGAGATTTCTGCTCGCCTAGACGGTGTGACTGGCGGGGACCCAGGTACTTTTCTCTCCTGCCCACGGTATCTCCCATGGACTAGGTGCTGGGCTCAGTGCCCTTGAGGGTGCAGGGATGATGAAGATGCTGTCATTGCTCTGGGGAGCCTCAGCAGAGTGGGATTTGGCGGCTGTCACCTAAGGGCCCTCATTGTCTAACCCACTTTGGAGGCTCCACTGTCCTCCAGGAGTTTGCAGTTTTCCTGAGGAGGCAACAGTTGCACAAGGGAGAGAAATGGTTATGAAGGAAACAGTGTAGCCTGTGAGTAACTAAATGTCAAGGGGAAGGGAACTTGCATTTACTGTGTGCTTACTGTCCCGTCATTGTCTCTTTATCCTGCTGAGGAAGTTCTTCCTGTGTCTAACCCGAGTCCCTCATGGGATAGGTACCAGAGCTCTGCTACCTCTCACTTGGGCATCCATCTTCACAACCCCATTTTCTTGATGATTGTTTCTTTCTCCACAGGGTATGGGCTCCTTTTCCTGTCATTGGTTATCACACCTGTCATCCGGGCCAAGCTCTCCAAGCTGGTGAGCAAGTCAGAGCAGGGTGAGTTTCAGGGTTAGCCCTTGTCTAGTTCCTCATGCCCAGTATTGCCCGAACTGGGCAGAGGGCAGCTGTGGGCCGGGAGGCAGCTCTCCTTCCTCCCTTCCACCCTAGAGAAGTAAGTAGCCAAGGCAACTACGTTGCTGTCACAGTGCCTAGGGCTGGCAGAGGACCACAGTGCCTTGGAATTTGCAGTCACGTGCACGATTATGTCCTTTTGGATCAGCCAAGCAGAGGATTTACTCTTTCCAGACCCCAGCTTTTCCATCTGTAAAATAAATGTCACAATGCCAGAGTTCCCTGCTTCCCTGGGGTCAGAGCATACAAGCTCAGAGGAGGCGAACAACTTTGTGATGTAGATTTCATTGTCTCTGCGTGGCAGATGAAGCAGAGGATTAAACTGACTCACCCAAGGTCATCAGTCAGTGGTGGAGCTGGGATGCACACCTGGGTCTGTTTTCAAGAGCAGCAGGTCTTGGGATCTGGGTTTTAGTTCTGGCCCCATCACCCTCCTGGCTATGTGATCTTGGACAGGTCCCTTTCCCTCTCTGGGCCTGTTTTCTCATATGTAATACGTGTGGATTGCTCTTGATGACATCTACAGGCCCTTCCAGCTCTGGCAGTCTGGCAGTTTAATCTCAACTTCTGTTGGGTTGTTGCTCACTTTGCAAAATTCGGGTTCTGCTGGCATATCTATAAAGAATAGCTTCTCAGGCTTCTAGGTCTTTAGGTCTCAGTCTGAAACATCTGGCTCATCCACTTTTCCCCGCCTGCCCTGGAAGGAGGATCTGGTGATGGCAGAAACTCTGGTGCCATATATAGCCCACCATGGGTTCTGTTGTCCCCAGAACCCATGTGACTTCGTTTATTCACTCATTAAGTTTTTTTCTAGCACCTTCACTGTGCCCAGAGATGCATGCCAAGGGGAACAGGAGAAAAGAACAGCCCTTACTAACTGGCTGCCTCCAGGGGGCTAGGCCCCATGATGGGCGCTTTACATGCAAATTTAATGTTACCAACAGATCCAAAAGCATTTTTATCAGGCTTTTGCTAGAAGACATCACATGTACTTTTATATGTATAATAACAGCCATTTGTTTAGTAGCCCCTGTGTGCCAGGTGCTTCCTATGCATGCCTTCATTGGAGTCTTATCATGATGCAGGATTTATAGGTGAGGAAGGTGAGACTCAGAGAGGTTAAATGACTTGCCCCAGGTCACACAGCTGTGTGGTGGTGGTGCCGAGGTTTGCACTTAGGTCTTTCCGATTCCAGAGTGATATTTATTTCTTCACAGGTGCTCTCTTTTCTGCTCTGGCCTGTGTGAATGGCTTGGCCATGCTGATGGCCTCCAGCATCTTCAACTCGCTCTACCCAGCCACCCTGAACTTCATGAAAGGGTTCCCCTTCCTCCTGGGAGCTGGCCTCCTCTTCATCCCGGCCATTCTGATTGGGTAATGCAGGGCTCTGACCTGTGTTCAGAGTGGAGCTCTTTATCCTAAAGGTGTCCTCCTCCGCCTCCTCCCAACCAGAAATAGCATCCTCATTCCTGGAGCTCTTCCCCTGTGGGTATGTCAGTCTCAGCCTGACTCTCCCTTAGCAGATGGTCACCTAATCCTCTGGGAGCCATTCCCCAGGGACAAGGCAGAGGGCTGGTAGGGGAAGGGTCAGGCTCACAGTGCCTCCTGGAAAAGCTACATTCTTGCACCCAGTTTCCCCCATTTTACAGATGGAACTGTGGCTCGCAGAAATGTGCTAAATGGAAGCCTGGAGAGCTTCCTTGGCCAGGCGTGGCTGGGCCACAGGCTCACCTGACCTAGTTCTTCCCCTGATGATAGCCTCAAGAATCATTTGCCAGAGCCCTCTGTTTCTGGACATGGTCTCCCACCTCTCAGCCTGGGGAGGGGTATACCTGGACCCGCCCACCGAATAAAGCCTGCGTCACTTCTCCAGGATTTGAAGGTCCCCACCTGTTAAATCTGAACCTTCTCTCTGGTCTCTCACAGGATACTGGAAAAGACTAATCATTGCCCTGAATTCCAGCAGTTTCCCCAGAGTCCCTGATCTGCCTGGACCAGAGGACAAAGGGCAAGAGGAGCAACGTGAGCACTAACCAACTGGAAGTATTGCCTCTGGATCCCAGCCTTCAGCAGCACCAGCAGCACCCTGCAAAGGGCAGTGTGGTCAAGCTCGACCAAGGCCCCCACCTCATCCACAGCTATGCCAGCCTATGACTCTAGGATCTGGAATTGTAACCCAGACAGACCCACTCCAGGGCAGGCAGTGTGGGAGCCATTTGGAACAGGGATCTGTTTACCCTGTAGGCCATCAGGCACATAGAACCCTCCAGGGGAGAGGAAAGGTCCTGATGGAGGTGACACTTCAGGGACCAGTTGAAGCATGAGGGCTGGCCCCTCTGCTTCCAACCGAAACTGCACAGCTCACAGTGCTCAGTTTACCACGAGCAGCCACCAGTCACTCCTTAGTGATGAATATGGTGCTCGGTCAGCACCTAGGGAGGGAGGGTTGTGGGAGTGGCTTGCTGCCCCTTGGAGGGAGAGTGCACTGTCTGAGGGTGGGAATCAATCTCTTGGGCTTAGCAGTGCCAAACAATAATTATAATCACCCTGAAGTGAACCTTCTGGGCCCCAAGGCATTGGGCTGTGGGGCCCTCTGTTTTCCTGTTCACAGTTTGCCCACCAGAGGTCAGACAGCAGTAGCTGCTGGAATGGACAGGAGCCCCTGAGCAGCCATGGGATTGGTACTGGACATGGCCAGCCCAGACCTCCTCCTGACTGACCATTCTCTTCTGAGCTGCTGGGAGGTGGAGGGCTGCCAGGCTTGCATCAGGCCAGCAGAGAGACTCCGGGCAGAGACCTGACCACTTGTTCCTCAGTGTCAGAGATCCACTCCCTGAAGGCACCTGTACTGGTCTTCCTGGCTACACCAGCCCAAGCAGAATCAATTTTTGTTACCACTCAGCCCTCCAGCACCTCCCCCATTGCTGGGCATTTCAGCAGGGCCATGTGCTGACACTCTCCCTTGTTTATCTGTAGGTCAGCAGGAACCCGGAAATGGGCCTGACCCTCCAGAAAATGAGGGGCCCATTTCTAGGGCATTAGGAAAGCCTGGACCTAAAGCTGAAAGGCAGAATAGGATTCAGTATTAAGGCACTGACTTTGATGAAGGCCATAAGCCCCTAAGCAAATCAGATGGTACTTGGCACTTCAAAACAGAATTGGCCACAGGGCATGACCCCCTGCCAGTATTTCTACCCTCATTCTCTCTCACCTGCCTTACCAGCCGGTTTCCTGGCTAGAAATCACGCAGGTAAAATGGGGGAGGCCCAGAGCAAACCAGGGTCAGTTGTGGCCTTCTGTAGCCTGGGCCTGTGTCCAGATTCCTATCTCACTGTCCCCTGTCATTGGGAGATCAAAGCAAGAAGAGGGTCTGGGCTGTACTCTGGGCAAGGCCTCTAGCTCATTCATATTTGGCATTAAGCAAGGTGGTAGTTCAGTGACATCCCCTAATTAATCATGGTTGGACAAGTTAGGAAACACTAGATTGAATAATGTTCTAAGATCCTTCCTCCCTCATACATTCTAGAATGAGAGGCCTCTATTCATGGACCTTGGGGGAGGATGAATGAGTTGGAGCTGGACTTTTGACTTTTGAATGCTCCTGAGCAGTTCTTCGTCCAGAGAGGGGTGGGGTGAGGCTGACTCAGCCCTGACCTGGGGGCAGTAGCTAGGGCCCAGCCAAGCAGAAAACTCTGCCCCTGAAGACCCGTGTCAGAGCAGGCTGCAGGGGAAAAGGCTATTTCTCAAAATCTCAGGACTAACCCTGTGGGGTCAAGTCTAGATGAAAGGTGAGGGCCAAGGTGCCCGCCTGGGCCTCAATCTGGGCAGTGTTTGTCACGGTGGGGGATGCCGGCCCCTGAACACGCTGGCCTGGCTGGGGGAGGGTCATCACTTCAGCAGCTCTGGTGGGGCCTGGAGTCTGGGCAGTCGTTCCTCAGAGAGGCAGGAGACAGGCAGCAATGGGGGCTGTACCGAACAGAAAAACAGTGCTGGGAAACTTCTCTGAGTACTGCTCAAGAGAGCTCAGAAGGGAGTGGGACTGGGGACAAAAAAGACAGGAAGCTTCTCCTGAAGGAGACTCATCAAACTGTATTATTACTGGTTCTGCTTCTTGAGGGCAACATTCAGTCTGCCTCAGTTACCATGCTATTCAGGGCCTGGCATTGGTGGGCATTCATGTGGCAAGGAGGGAGAGTCAAATGCAAAGGACCAGCTGAAGACA